CTCGACAGAGCAGAGGACAGTAGGAGTAGGGGGTAGGGGGATTGGGGGGGGGGGGGGGGGGCAATGTAACGCTTCACAGTTAGGTGTCTGAATCTCAATGAAGGGTGAGCAGCACCAGCATTCGGCCCTGTACAGATGTCCCATCATCCACCACACTGCAACTGCGCTCTCCAGCCGCCCTCCACACGTTGCCATAGCATCATTCTATGTAGGCATGTGCACTTTTATTTTTTTTAACACCACCAGCAAAGTGACACATCCGTTGCTACTGGATTCCATCATACAGCTGTTTCAAGTACAGTCCGTATCGCCTATAAGATTGGCGGCTATAGTATTATACCGGATATAGTGATCAATTTCTCAAATTCATTTTCATTTACCATAACTAAGTATACACAGTTATCGCGTATAGTAATAATCGTCTATAGTAATATATCGCCCATGGTGATCAAATTCATATTTCAAAAGACCTTTATTACATTATTTTTGATTCGGTTATAGTGACTGATGTAAAATCAAGCGATGTCAGAGGAGAACAGGGTGTTACTTCTTCGTGAAGAACTTGTCCAGTGAGTGTTGTTTGGTGAGTTTTGCTTGTACAAGTTGCCAAAATATGCCTCCATCATGAGGAAATCCTGATTTTGTGTGTCAGGAGCTACAGCCAGCTACATGACATTGTACATGTATGTAGTGCGTATGTGCAAGGCGCGCTGAGTCGTTTGACACCCCACTCGCATACATTGCATGCAGCATCGGTCATAATAATATATCGCTTATAGTGATAAAATGCTCAAAATCAAACACCAACGCTATAGGCGATACTGACTGTATAAAACTCTCGTCAGCGAGGGTTAGACTCTCCTGTCAAAAATAATCACCGTACTAGTCCACCGTCAGACAAACCATGACTTACGGAAGTCACCACAGTGAAAATGCCAGACGAGTGTTTAAGCACGGAGCGGGAAGCCAATGTCCAGGAAATGCCATTGCGAGCAAAGCCGGTGAATAGGCACGTCATGGTGATAGCAGTGCCGACTGGGAACTTCTGAGTAGCGGGTGTATCCGGGGATACACGGGATGTCAGAGCCACTGTACCAACACAACAGTTTGAGTGTGTGTGAGAGAGAGAGGGAGAGAGAGAGAGAGAGGGAGAGAGAGAGAGAGAGAGGGAGAGAGAGAGGGAGTGAGTGAGTGAGAGAGAGAGAGAGACAACAGTGAGAAGTGAATACAGCAAAAGCATAATGTACACACTCACACCTACACACATGTTGCACATACACGAGCACGCACGCACGCACACACATATGCACAGACACACACGTGTGCATCTGTACAAGCACACACAAGTACACACACACGCATTATTATATGCAGACACGCACACACATGCACCCATGTACACACATTAAAGCCAAGAACAACTGACATACCATCGCAGTTCCTGTCCGATGACTGCAGTTGCTTGTCTGGGCAAGTACATGTGTGTTTTCCAGCAATAGTGTTGTCGTCCAAGCACTCTGCCTCTGGCACGCAGTCATGCTGTCCTGTTGAACACTGGTTGATATCTGTATGCAGAAAATATAGAATGACATCATTATGACAGTAGATGACATCATAGAGATTTTGAATGTACTACACAGTAGCAAGAGAACTAGAGCGTGCAATTCCGCAGCTAGTCTGATCCACGGCAAAATGTTCTTATTTGCTTCTTATTTTTCTTATTTCCTCTACCAGGACGCACGACGCACATCGTACAAAGCACACGCAGAGCATACCGTAAAAAGCCCGTGTATAGCCCCCCGGGCGTATTGAATAGCAGCCTCGATTTCCTGGGCGTATACAAGGGCACGGGCGTTATTTTGGAACCGGGAGTATACTAGGAATAGGGATAGCAGTAAGTATTGGGTATCAGTACCTGTACATGTACTGGTGTTTCCGGCATACCTGGGCGTATACATGGGCATGGGCGCTATTTTGAAACAAAAGTGTTGTCGTCCCCTGACTGGGCGTGTACACGGAGGGTGGGCGTTTTTTCGAGTGGGCGTATACTGGGGCTTTTACGGTACGCTGAGCGCCGACCCGCGAGTTTCCGTTTTTGTCACTTTCAAAACAAAGTCTAACTTTTCTCCCGCTTCTGTAGCTTTTTATCGTACAGTTGTGCTCGGTGAAATCCAACCCACATTTGGCACCCTCATTTGCACGGCACGGCCCTTGACGCCGTGGAAGTGGCACGAATGCGGCTGGACGTACACATGCACGAATACAATGAGGTAATCAAAACTGGTACAGGACGCCAGTTTTGCACTTTTGGTCGGATTTCACCGAGCGCAACTGTACTAGTAGTGAGGTTTAGTGAAACCCGGCAAGGTTCCAGCGGCAAGGTTCCAGCGGCAAGGTTCCAGCGGCAAGGTTCCAGCGGCCACAGACTGCCTCCCACAGTATTACTCATGATCTCGAAAAAAGGGCCAACGGGCCAAACCCAACGGAGCTGCAAAACACTTTCGCTGACATTTTCATTGGCCCTGATCTGAAAGGCTATGTGACTTCCTCAACATGTGCTAGCGACCGGGCAGAAAAGGAGGACAAACACACAAGGATGTGTGTGTGTGTGTATATGTGCGTGTGTGTGTGTGTGTGTTTGTGTGTGTGTGTGTGTGTGTGTGTGAGAGAGAGAGAGAGAGAGAGAAAGAAAGAAAGAGAGAGAGAGCAAGAGAGGGCAAAAGAGAGAATGCGGAAACTTACCATGGCAACCTCCATGTGCGCTAATACCCGGTCCCTGGAATCCACGCATACAACCACACGTATAGCTTCCTCTGGTGTTGTTGCAGGTTGCATATTTATGGTCACAGTCATTCAACTGAGCATCTTGACACTCGTCCACATCTGCAGAAATACATCCCAATCAAAAGAGTAACCTTTCTTGAGAGACAGCAGCAATGAACACAACGATACACCACAACAGCTGACTTAATGTTTCGCGCCGAAACCAAAGTCGGCGGAGTGGCGGTGAGATTTCAGACAAGTATTTATTCGTAAAAAAAAAGCTTGCCTTCCTCTTCTCCCAACTCCCTGAAATTGTACTAGTACAAGTACAGCAAGTATGTGCACAGAAGTTGACAATGGTAGGAAGAATACGGTTGTCACGCAGAGCTTCATGGCACATCGGACAAGGCTCTGCCTGCTTCATGTGCGGAGCACTCTCGCAGGTCAAAGCCATGCACCTGTGCTTGGCATACAACTAGACCAACACATCATAAGAGTACAAATATTGCGACTGGGTCAGCACAGTGCCCAGATGCATAGCCCGTATGGGCACGGGGGGCAAATGCACGCCCCTAAAAGGTTCGACCTAGGTTCAGCATGCACATAATGCCCAGGATGACATGCACCAACCATCCTAGGGTACATGTATGATACAGCTGCCGTGCACCCCCTCCCCCCCCCCCCTAAGAGGGGGACCAGCTACGCCCCTGCCGCCCACATGTACTTACCGACACAGCTTTTTTTAAAGGTAAAGAGAAAAGGACCTATAATAAAATGAATTAAATATTGTATCCGTAAAAAAACTTACCGACACAGCTGTTGTTTCCAGTACCAGTATATCCCACTGCACAAGGACAGTAATAGGAGGCAAGCTGATCCTGGCAAGTGCTGATTGTGGGTGCGCACACCGCAACACCCTCCGCGCACTCGTCCATTGGCACACAGGACAAGTTCGAAGAACCGCCGTCGCGGAAACCGCTTGCGCATGCTCCGCATCGGTAGCCCAGTGACGGGGCGGGCTCGTCCGAGCATTGCCGCAGTCCACCGCAGGGCTGCGACAGGCAAGCGTCGATGTCGCTCTCGCAAATACGGCCAGTTTGACCTGAACCAGTACAAACGAGCAGAAGAAATCAAGTAAGCGAACAATGGCAAGTACAATAAAGCATGCAAAGGCGACCACCTGTCCAGGAAGACCACTGAAACCAGGATCAAGGGATGCTATTTCCAGTCAAATGACCTTGGATAGGGAGACTACCTGGTAACAGAGATTACATTTTGAAGGTCCCTTGAGCGGTCGTTTTAGACATGTTTCACTGTAAAGTGTAACATGTCAACTAACGCAGCTCAGGTCATTCGTGGGCTTCTGTGGTAAAGCACACACTTGCATTGTCAATTAGCTGTCACATACTTCACAAACTACATTTGTTTCAATGTAGCCAAGTTGTAACCTAGGTTGAGCTATAGACGTTATTCGATAAAGGTCACAATCACGTGAACCGGGGTCCCGGGAACCAGGGAGTGGCAAGAGATCTGCACTCAGTGCACAGTGGACTCGGTGTGGGAACATAGGAGTAGAAAAATACCGGTATTTTACTACTCCCTTGTACGAACTGGGCCTTTCTTGCCACGTACGCGTGCCCCAGCTTACGACAAATCCCTGGAGGCGAGTCCAAAAATCACGTTATCGAATAAGGTCTATAGTTTAAGTGTTTGTCTGTACACCGTATCGTGGTTAGCAAAAAAGAACACCATAACAGGTTCCTACCGTATGTCAGCGCCTTTAAAGCCATGGCCTTATATTCAAAACACCGCTGCTTTCCTAACTATTTTAGATGTAATATGACTCACCCACTACGCCATGCCATAAAAGTAAAAGTCCACACAGAAATTTCAGTCTAAATCCACTTCCTGCCGGGCTGTAGTTTGTTAGTATTAGGGGTGAAACAATTATACCGAATACTCGAGTACTCGCTCGGTTTTTTCAGAAATAATCGTGCTCGGAATAAATCAGAGTACTCGTTCATACGTGGTACATGCATTTACCACAGAAATCTGCAGTTTCAGAGCAGCAGTGGTCAGATATTGATGTGCAGTCTGTGTGGTGAACATTTGTTCACGAGTAGAGGGAGCTCAAATGACCCAGCAACCAATATACCTGAGAAAAAATGATTGCTACTCGGTTCAAGCAGGGTTGTATCATGTGATTTTAAGGCCCTCGGTGTGCAATTTATAGGAGATGATGAATACTCGAATACTCGAATATTCGACCGGAGAAAACCAGAGTACTCGAACTCAGGATCTCAGTGCCAAATTTCACCCCTAGTTAGTATAGTACTTATTCCTTCATTTTCACAAAACATACTTCAAATGTCATTTCATTTATGAAGCCCATGGCTTTACAATCGAATATACCTCCATGGCTTTAAAAGTGGGAACATACGGTAATAAGGCGGCGTGGAGACAAGAAACCCAACAAACCCAATATCGACAAAAAATAAAGTGAGCGCACTCATACCACGACACCAATGGAACAATATGAAAAAATCCTCTTAAAAATCCTTTCATGTTTTTCTGTTGGTATCGTGAAATGAGTGTGCTCACTTTATTATTATCGATATAACAGGTTCTAGGAATTATTGTAATATCATTTGTTATTGCTACGTATGATTTTCGCCTTGCTAATTCTGCTCAATACTATCATAAAACTTTCCTATATGAAGTTGATAGCTCCAACTACAGTCAGTTTCAAAAAGATTAGCAATCCTGGTGATCGCCCGGGGAGTTTGCCGTCTTACCGTATGAGCGCTCGAGCGCTGCCTGGAAAAACTCACTGTGAACTCGAAGAAATATTCCGCGCGAAAGCATGAAAAATGACAACTCACTCAGGTCGATGTCGGTACAGTCGTGTACGTCTGGTTCACAACAAACGAGTTCTTCCTCGTATCGATTATGCCATATGGAGTCAGAGAGGACATGTCGAAAGTGTAGTAAATGCCAAGGCTGACGAGCGGCATGGGTCCCAATATGTTTTGTGACCAAATAGTTTCCTTGAGCTGCGATGCTATTTACTCTCACCATGTGACGAAAACGACATCGACACAGACTCATTCCCAAGGCCATGACTTGGCGAAGCTATCCGTATGACTTCGACAACATTTTGAGAAAAGCAGACGCCTGTGGAAGCTGATAGAAGACGGCGTTGACTTCTAAATTCAAATAAATTGGCGATCTTGAAATACTAAAATAATTCTAAAAGAAATCGATCGATCGATGTGCCGGTGTATTCAACACGTAGCTACAGCGCAATGACTTCCGTATTCACTCACACCGTTTCAGTGTTGTGGGTGTGTTCACATGGCGTGAGCCAGTCAAGTGTCAGTCAGTTCGGGAGGAAGCGGGAACTCCAACAACAACAATCGTGAACAACTACAAGTCTGCTTGATCACCAAAAAACAATGAAAAGAAGTGTGAGTTGAAGATAGGTTGGGATTTGAACTCACAACTTCATGGTCAGCAGACAGCATTCATAACCACAAGGCCAGAAAGGAAAAGATAAATCGTGGGTTTTGATAGAAAAATCGATACTGGCTTCCTGGGCAAATTGCAAACCATGGGAAAAGGCCGGAAACCTGGCCGAAATTCTAACTCCTTAACGGCTTGTCCAATTGTTCCGAAACCTTCACAGAACAATTTGCCGTGCCCTAACCAGCCCTTTTATGTACTTCGTTGTCCAATTTCCCCTTATCTTCATACTTTTTAAGACCAAAACCTGATTGCTAATCTTTTTGAAACAGACTATAGTTCTAAGTTCTCAAACTTTCCTTTGTTGACCATGTATAATAATAAAGTACCCGGATTGACGTCATCTCTCACCTGGCAAGCATGCAGTACATGCAAGTAGAGTGAAGGCTGTTGAGACAGCAGTGCTGGCTGGTGCAGCGCTGCACTCTCCAAAGCAGCTGCAGAGGGTGATTGGCACGGTGACGATGGATGCCTGGTTGGCCGAGTCAACGGCACGCACGCGTAGCATAATACTGCTGCTTGGCTGGCGCTGGCTGGGAGTCCAGCTAAGCACCAATCCAGACTGCGGGGAGTACGCCGACACCAGATCACCAGGGACAATTCCGCTGGAGGTGGCCACTTCGATAACCGAGATGTTAAGAGTGAGCGCAGCAGCAGCACGAACAGTCAAGTTGCTGGTTACATTGAAGTTAGCATTGAGGACATCAGTAGACAATGTTATCAGTGGTGGACTGCGAGCTGAAAGAAAACAAGTCATGGCACACAAGTCGAGTTAATCGTATTCTTGTGCAAGCTGACGGGAAGGTCAGACTTCAATTCAAGCCCGAGCAATATAGCTTGCAGCCTATATCATCATATCTTCTGAAAATTGTAGTCTAGTTGTTGTCTGATGATCAGATAAAACCGTGAAACAGCAGAAATGCTTTTGATTCCTTTCAAGTGTGTGTCAAAGCAATTTTTGTATAATGTATGTATGTTGACACAAACCAGCCTGAAGTTCAATCTTGAAGTTGGATCCGTAGTGAACACAAGCATCTTCACAGGGTACAGGCTATCAACCAAGAGAATCGCGGTGCTACTACTATCAAGAGTACATAACCCAAGAGTGTGCAACTCCAGCTATGGGGTCTGCGACGGCAGAACTTCACATCACGTGATGAACCCGTGCACTCTAGTGCATGATAGATACTGGGTTGTACGCAGCCCAGCTTTGGGTACAACTCTCTTGTGGTCACTTTGCACTGTTTGCCAGCATAACCTTTTGAACCATGTCACGTGATGTGAAGTTCTGCCGTCGCAGCACAGCATAGAGGTTGTGCAGGCAGTTGCACACTCTTGGTTATGTACTCTTGCTACTATCCATAACGCCTCAAAAACGCATTCTGATCCTTATGCACAGAGTACACAACACGATAGTCCTGGAAAGCTTCACGTTGTTGCACTGTGACAAAATAGTGTGCATGTCCACGTGTACATACTGTTAGAATACATTAATCTTTCAGTGAGAGTCTAGGCGTACGGTTAGGTGAGAAGGCAGACATGCCTGTGTATCTGGTGAAGTAAAAAACAACAAAAAACAACAACAACAAGACCCAAGCGCACAAGAGTGTGTGTACATACCCACGGCAATGGAGGATTGCTGAAGAGCTTTCTCCGTCACGAGGGTAGATGCGGCCAGTGTGGTGCTGCCAGTTGCAATGAAGTCGGCCAGGCAAGCTAAGTCTCCATCGCAAGTGGCGTTTGCCTCGCTGCTGATGTTCAGCACGTCGACAACAGCCTGGTTGGGCACAACGCCAGCTGGATTGTATGTTGCGTAGGTGGTGTTGTCATCGTAGGTGAACACATCATGGTCTGGCTGAACTTGCACTGTTTGTTATGACAGACAGACAGACAGACAGACAGACAGACAGACAGACACAGATGGACACAGACAGACACAGATGGACACAGACAGACACAGATGGACACAGACAGACACAGATGGACACAGACAGACAGACAGACAGACAGACAGACAGACAGACATACAGACATACAGACATACAGACCAACACACAGACATACGTGCACAGATCCAGCGTCAGTGCACGAGACAGATGCAAACAAGAATGCACAATTGACAATGGGCAGCTGCCCATTTTCAGAAATGCGTCAATTTTCATGATGCGACCAGCTCTATGCTGCATCCATTCTCTATGAACAAGATTGAAAAATGGAAAATGGAATAAGAAAAGTGAATTTGAAGCCAGGGATTTCTGGGACACAAAATCGAAATGAATGGCGGGGTACACGTGGACAATTTGCCCACACGGCGGACAGAATGGAGCCGACCTGTCCATTGTGAATCTGAATTTGGTGCAAAAATGACAGATTAGAAGTTGCACGACTTGGTGAAAACACCTCAGAACATGGGATACCGTTAGGACAGCATTTCAAGGCCAGCTAGTTGTACAGTTTTTCTTAAAGTGCGGAAAATAACTTACGAGTTGCCGCGGCAGCCAGAACACTTGCCGAGTTGCTCAGATCAACGCTGGGACGAGACATGTTGAGAAGACCGTCCACGGTGGAGAAGGGATCATGCGCCACTGTGCAACGAACACATACAAACATCAATTCACATCTTGAAATGCACGTGAAGGCATGCACCCATGCACCGTGTGCTGGCGTAAGTACAACCGAGGCCCGAGGACACGAGGTGAGGGCAGCTAAGCGCTGAAATCTCCACAACTCTGAATTCGCCAGAATGAAAAACAGGCATGCACCAGAAACATCAATAAAATTACCGTGGTGTCTTGTATTAAAGCCTGGCTCGTATGGAAGCCTGTTTTGAATACAAGCCGGATTTTCAAGATACACTGGCAATAAGCCTGATTTTAGTGTTGACACGCACAGAAATACATGTACTTGGTTTGAATAGATGGCCAACTCTGACATCGGCTTCTACAGGCTTAAGCCCGACTTTAATACGCGACGTGACGGTCATCAAACTCAATAAAAGGCATACACTGCTATCAGACATGCTCTACCAGAACTTTTTCTTGTTACATTGCAGTGGAGTGCAGTAGCAACCAACCTTGGAAGGCCAAGAAGAGGACAGGTGCTTGCTGAACGGAGACTTGCACACTGCTTGAGCCGTACGACGTCACAAGACTGCCGCTGTGCAGTCTGAAATAGGTATGGTTGCCGGCGCGGATACTCTGCACCAGCTGATCATCTCCGACAATGGCAAGGGTGTTGTTGCTGTATGCAAACACCTCCACGCTCAGAGTCTGCTGCAACCTACTGATCCCTGTGGTGAGCCAAAGAACACGAAGCACACAAACAAGCAGATGTTAATGGGATCTTGCTCAGCGAACATGCGTGAACATCTGGAGATCTCAGGGTAGCCAGCCGCTTCATACAGTGTTATCCTAAGTTTTAATCTCGTCCTACAGTCCATTCATCGCCGGAAACTGTCCCGCTGGCTTTCGAAAGTCCGATTTGGGCCGAATTGAGGATTAAAAACCCACTTTAAATCTCAAAATCTGGGTTTGCGGTCTGCTCCTCCATACATTTTGCTATGGTATACCTGTCCCAATTTTGTAAAACCTGGCTGAATTTCTATTTCCTTGTTCTTCGACTTTTCTGGCCTCAAATGTGGCAAGGAGTAATTGCACGGGTCACACAATGCAGGATGTACTGTTGTTTTCACAATATCTGCAACTATGTGCAGGAGACACCAAAAAGTTAGGGTGCCAGTTTCCAATGAATGGACTGTAGGCACCAACATTTCCCTTATTCTTGAACTATGAGAACTCGTACTTGCATGCTGTGTAGCTGTGTGAAAAAATAGCCAGCTTTATGAGCAAGAAACCGAATGAGCCGTGATGGCCTATGCCCAAGTTGGCCGAAATCTGGTCCGGCCCAATTCATGCAGCACTTTACTGCGCTCTTCACCAAATCAATGTCAGAAATTGCCATTTAGTGACACAGCAAGCACACATACACACACACACACACACACACACACACACACACACACACACACACACACATGCGCGCGCACACACACGCGCACACACAGACAGGCAGACACACAGACATACACACGCAGAAAAACATTGATCAGCTTACAGAGGTTGATGGCTACGCGGGTGATAGACGTGAAGTTGAGTGCATTAACCGGGGCCACTTCCAGCCTTGTGAAAATGGAGAAATTGTACGCCGCTGGTGTTGCAAACCTTGCCATCAGGTACTCGCCAATGCCATGGAAATCAAAGTCCTCACCCTCGAAGTTGGTCAAGTGAGGGTCACCAAATCCAGAAGCTGTGGACAAAGTGGACAGAGCAGATCACATGGGATTAATGCGTAGCAGGTAGCAACCAAACATTTTCAAAACTTCAGTTTGTGTTTGATAGTATGTCATTACATCGAACTATGCGTACATGCTTACAAATGTTCAGCCGCTGCAGTTCGCCTCGGAACCAATCCCGTAACCAAAACTTAGCCCTGAACACAAATGGTATTGCGTTGTATGAAGTAGGGAAATAGATCACAGTCTTCGGCTGCCTCCAGCCGAGTTTCATGCAAACCGTGAATTTGTTTAGTCTACAAAGAGAGTGAAGCAACAGCAGCAGCAGCAGTTCATCGTTACCTTGAGTCAGTGCCACTCTGGTTGTGGTGGCTCTGGGCGAGCGGCGCTTGCCAAAGAACTCGTTCAGAACGCCTCCCTGCTGGCAGTAGGCCAGGATAGAAGCATCGATGACTTGGTATGTCTCGTACGCCTGAAGGGCACCACTATCAACAAGAAGTCCGTCACTGCCATAGCAGCAGACCTGACAACACAAAGCGCAAACACACACACACAAAACAAACATGGGTTGTAAGCATGAAACACACGATACTCACCCTTTAGACAGGGGCCGGGGGTAACTCATTCAGCAAGCACAGTCGGGCACAGGCAATACACTTGATCATTTTGCGAGAACTGTGGCAATAGGCCCAGTGAGAAGGTAGATTTTGCCTGTGCTTCTGGTGAAGTAAAATAAACCTAAACAAACGAACAACACAATAGGACCAGCAGTACCAAGATACAATGCAAGGCAAGCAGGCAGCTAGCTCACGCATGGCTTACCGAAGAAGCCTGGTAGCGTGATCCATTGGAGACCGGGGTTGACCTGTAGCAGAGGTAGCTGCCAGAGACTGCGGGCTGTCGCTCAAAGATGCCGAGTACAGAGGTTGTTGCACGCTCTGCCGGGCACTGGAGGAGATTGGCGGTGGACTGGAGGTAGGACGGAGTCTCCACAAGGGCACGGCATTTCTTGATGCCGCGCAGACGCTGGCTGCAGCCCGGTGTTAGCCTGGTGACTAGCTGACGTGCTACGCTGGCTGGGCTGAAGTAGCTCTCGACGTTGCCATTTGTGGGACGCCATGCAGCCACCACAGCCTTGGGGTTACCCAGCCAGCTGACACCATACTTGGGGTAGAAGAACAGGGCAAACGTCTGACACTCGTCACCAATGATGGCTGCCTGGAATGTGTTGCGCTGAAGTGGAAACAGGACAAAAATATAGACAGTAACATTACTTTCGTCATGCACACACACACACACGCACACGCACACACACACACACTTACACACACACACTTACACACACACACACACACTTACACACACACACACACTTACACACACACACTTACACACACACACTTACACACACTTACACACACACACACACACACACATCTTGACCTTGACAAACAGCTGCCGTTAAACGGCTAAGCTGCCCTGATGAGGAGGGAAACAAAGGGGTAGCATCACGGCGTCGCGGCAGAACATCCGGCCTCATGCCGCTGCAGATCCTGCTGTCTGCGATATCTCTCGCCGCACGCACAGCAGAACTTGAACTCAAGACACTCCCTCGCTGTTGGTCGCCTGCCACGCGCGCAATTGTGCCGTTTAAATCCAGCAGCAGATCGAAAGCACCGGTTACATGACAGGCAGTGGAATGGGCAACAATACACACACACAAACGCACTTACACACACACACACACACACACACACACACACACACACACACACACACACACACACGCATGTACGCACGCACACACACGCACATACACACACACGCACACACACACACACACACATACACACGCACACACATACACACGCACGCACACACAGACACATGCACACACACACACACACACACACACACACACACACACACATACACACATACACACACACACAAACATATACACACACACACACACACACACCTATCCAAAGCAATGACTGATGGGACACGCTATAAACCAGCATGCACGAGAGTGTACGGTCAAATAGCTCAAAATGTAGGCCCAAAATCCCAATTCCAATTTGGCCGGAAATGGGATTCGGATCAGCACATCTGCAGTCATCAGTGCTAAATCTGGCGAAAAACTCAGTTATGGTGCCCATTTCGTAGAAATTGCAAGAGCATTCCATACTGCACGGTGACCATCAACCCATTACGGCTGAACGGCAAAATCATCTCATCATTGTCTGAATGGGATGCGAGACTTACTCTGTCGTGTGTGTCATTCTCGCGCATCTCACGCCAGGTCGTGACGACCGCCTCGCTGGGTGTGAACTCTTCACTGCCAATGGAGGACGCCCTCACTGCCTGAAGGATCTGCGAGAAGGTGGCTGCGTCGGTGCTGTTGCTCACAACATGGCTAGTCACCGTACCTGAATTGCAACGGCTGGCTGTAGCAGTGTTAGTCCACAGCGGTGCCACCAGAGCAATACTGTCAGTCACACGGTCAATACGGTTGTAACCGCCCGTGAAGCCGGCCAACGACACGAATCCGTTCCTCGACACCTGTGTCGTTGACACATGAACACACACACACACACACACACACACACACACACACACACACACACACACACACACACACGCACACACACACAAGCAAAATGCTTATAACTTAGCATCGACAAACATACCCGCAATATGTCCTCCAACACAATCCCCACAGAGGATCCGAATCCATCTTCAGCAGGGGCTCAATGTCCAACAACAGAAGGAGCTATTCTACCCATTTGTCTCCTGCAATGATGCCTGTGCCTTTCCAACAAGCCTGCAGGGCTTTCTGATCTAAGGATTTATGACAACTTCCAGTGTAGCTGCATTCTTGACTATGTCTGTTACCAAAGTGCAGAGATCACAGCGCAGTACAGTAACCAAGGCAACATCCAGCCCAACCAATCCCAAGCCAATACAAGGCAACCACCGCTGCTGCCCTGCACATACGTGCATTAGCACACTAAGTACGGTCGTGGCCAGAGAAATACGGCCCACGATTCTAAAGTAGCGCCGCGCTTCCATTTCAATTACATAACATCATCGCGGCACGCTCCAAAAACCGATCCGAGGGCTGTAGGGCTCCGCACGAGCCTTGGCGCTGCTTTTGGCACGCGGGTCGGATTTCTTTGGCCACGACTGTATTTGTCAAAAGTGTGAAGACTCCACTGTAGCCATCCACGATACCCATACTTCAAAAGTACATCTTCACAACACTCTCCAAACGGTCTCTGGCCTACACCTATAGCTAAAAGAGAAAAGGACATCATTCGACTGTATTTGAAGTAGTTTGTATAGAGTATAGAACTCCATGGTCTTACCGTAACGTTGCTGTACTCTGCATAGCTGGATCCAAAGACCACCGGGTAGGTGAGAGAGAACGAATCCCCGCTGACCTGAGTATCCGCAAGCGGTGTCAGCATAGACTCATTCATGTCTGTGCAGCATGGGTGGTGACAATTGCATGTAGCACACAAACACAGAGACAGTCAGATAATGCATGATCACATGCACACACGAAATTGTTTTAAACATTTTTGCCAAAGTCGCCACCGATATTTCAAATCTTACTTGAACAACAGCACAGTATACAGAAGAAAAAACAAGACGAGTTGATGCATGGTGATGACGGCAGAGTTAGTTCTTTTTATTGTTTTATTAAATATTGTGTCTCCGCGGCGTTAATTCGGCAAGGCATTTATTCAATCTACAGGTAATAGGGACCTTTCGCACCTGCTGCGAATCGAATGCGAAACGAAAGTTTGATTCGGCTCGTCCTCGTTTCGTTGAAAACAGATTCAGGTTTCGCAAGTCGTCGTGCTAATTTCCATGGCAACTACGAATAGCTTGGCGTACGCGTGTTTACACGTACACGTGCATGGATCATGGAATCAATGAAAAAATGTGTACCTGGGAAAAATGTGTACCTCACGGATTCAGAGCGCGTCACGAATGAAGTGGCTTCAATTCGTGAAAACGAGCCCTCGTAAGGGACTCTGACGAATTCTCGAACCCAGGCGACGAATCAGCATTCGTTTCGTTGCAAAAGGTCCCTAATATAGATCAAGAACAACCAGGAACACATGTGACATATGTACTCGCTTACTTAGGCAGCCTGCTTGCTCGGTGTAGTATTGAGCAGCGTCCGTGCACTCATCACACCGCTGTCCCGTGTAACCAGGTAGGCACAAACATTCGCCGCTGGTCACGCTGCACTCGCTGCTGTTAGAGCCAACGGGAGAGCAACGGCAATCTATGGGCGAGAGAGAGAGAGAGAGAGAGAGAGAGAGAGAGATAGAGAGAAAAGGGAGAAGTGAATACAGCGAAAGCATAACATACAAATACATGTGCGCACGTGCACACACATACCCTAC